AATGATCCAAATGGCAAAAGACATTGAGGTTTGGTAGATTTTTTTTCCAGCATTCGTTAGTTAAGGAACAAGCTCCTAATAAAGAAATTATGATCTGAGATGCAGGAAGATTGATTTCAAATATGAAGATGACTGATAAAGAACATATGAGATGGATTCTAGGGACAGAGTTTTGTAAAGTGCCTATGTGTAAGAAAAGGAAATCAAAGCTAAAGCCTGAGCCTTTAAAAAGAGGATGACTGAAAATGAAATAATGCTTACAAGGGCAGATATAACCAGAGATTGTGTTACTGTTCAGAGATGTGTACAATACTCTCCTACAAGACTTTGTAAGAAACAGAATCAGAACAATTAGCGAGTGATCCAACAAGAAAGATCTAGTCCCAGTTAGATAATGTTATCTGCAAAAATAAATGTGAGTAGATTGGGAAATGTCAAATGATAATGGCATCATTATTAAAACTTTTGGATATAACAAGATGACAAGATATTGTGGTTTATAAGACCAACGATTGAAGACAAAACTGCCTGTTTAAAATGGAAACACAATTAGCAAGGTTAGAAAGGGCATAGGATATAGGTACACGATTAAAACTAGTTCAGAAGTCATTAGTAGGCTGCAGATGATTAAAGCAAGATCTGAACAAGTTCTTCCTATTATTGATTTAATGTGTATGTTACCAGCAAAGTACAAAATTCGGCATTCTATAAAATGCCTAGGCATTGTATATAATGCCTAAAACTAGCTGCAATCTATGAAATGATTCATATTTTACAAATTTCCTAGGCATTCTATAGAATGCAAAATGAGAAACCGGCAAAGTATGAAATACATCTCCAATTCGTTTTGAATATCACATGGCAAGGCATGTGACTTTTAATGCACGTCTCAAGCTTAGAATTTGTCAGTTGCATTTTGCAGAAGTGTCAAAATACACAATTTTACTTAAATTTGTTCAACAAAAATTTAGTTTTTTACTGTGCTCCATGAAAATGGAGGAGCAAGCTGTAGCGTTAAAGAAGGTGTCATGGTCTATAGACGTGAAACAATGATTCGACGATAAACTGTTCAAAATTTGAGTTAATGCTGCAAAAAACAGTATTAACCGAAACTACTTACCAGAAGTTAATAAATAATGTACTGTGGGGGTACAAAATATCGTGTGAATGAATCAACACGATAAAATATAAGTGCTCAACCAGGGGATAAAATTATAACAAGCGTGCTTGGTGGAACAAACGCTTATTAAGGGGGGATCCACTGGACTCAATAGGGACTAGACAAGACAACCAGTGGATTCTATAACAATATTTCTTTAATATACTTGGGAGGATACAGTACTCCCAAGATAAAGATGAGACACAAGAATACAGAGTCCGACAATCTAGTATATCGCGAATCGATAACAAAAATCTCCCGACAATAAATTGCTCAAGCTGACGTAACAAGAATACATGGAAACATACCGACATAAATGGGGCTTCGACGATCTTTTCTTCTCTTCCACTCCAGGTAGGAAAAAGTTCCAAAGTTCTAAAAATCTCTACGGACTTGCTTGCACAGGCTCTATATCTTCATTCCCGCACTTCACTCCACTGTCCTTACTCATCTCCCGTTTTCTCCACTCTCCACTTCTCTTCACCCCTCTCCCTGAGACACACCCCGTCCATAAAACACTCACCCTTCGGTCACACACTCCTGAATTACATAACTCCTCTCCACCGAGTTAGACCCACCACGTGGCGAAGGGGGGGCAAGAACAGATGTAAGGCACAGTACAAAAAGCCAAAATGACTACTAAGAAGGAACCCAGGGACTATTGGTTGCTGAATCGCTATGATGTGATGATTATAGAAAACAAAAGTAAACTCATTTATCTTGTTAAAGAAGGCATCAGTACTATACAGTATTACATCACGAACTCAGAGTCATTTCACGTACTTCATGAAGCTCATTTGGCTATTGGACACGGAGGACGTGATAGAATGTTGAGAGAGCTTTCAACCAAATACAAAAACGTTACAGGTCATGATATTGAACTGTACATCCACCTTTGTGAACCTTGCCAGAAAAAACAGAAAGGTATTAAAAAGGGCATTGTTGTGAAACCTATGATTTAATTTCAAATTTAATTTCTGTTTTCATGAATTTAATTCCAAAGCCAGGGTAGTGTCGAAAGAGCTAACCAAGATATCGAAAATATGCTCTGTACTTGGATGCAGGACAAATCTGACTGCTGGAGTGAAGGACTGTGTTTTGTTCAATTTATGAAAAATAGAACTTATCATTCTGGGATCAAAATAACACCATTCAAAACTCTTTTTGGCTGCAAACCTAAAGTAGGCCTTATAATGCCTTTTATACCAGAAGATGTTTTAAAAGACATAAATACAGAGGAACAGCTAGAAAAAGTAATAGAAAGTGTCAAAACAATGGAAAAAGGCTCAAACTAATCAGATTATGCAAGAAAAAGAGCCTGTTTAAAAAACATGGATGAGATTATAGTCGTTAGTGGATTAAACCAACATGATGCTTACTGAAGGGATTTTTGTTTCTGTTTGTGTGTGTTTAAACACACATAAACAGAAACAAAAATTTTTTGACAACATTTTTTGCATGCATTTCTGCAAGGTATCACATTTTTTGCATGCATTTCTGATACCTGTTGTGTGTTTAAACACACACAACAGGTATCAGAAATGCGTGCAAAAAATGTCGTCAAAAAATTCATACCTTCTGTGGCCATGCTAGTAAAGATGATGAAATGGATATTTTGTGCACCCTTTGTTTCAAAACTGAAAATGCTATTGAAGGTAAAATAAATTCTAAAATCAATCTGGAAATACAAGCCAAAAAAAATGAAAATGAATTCGGAAAAAAAATTTCCCACTGCTTCTTTGGGAACTACTGTGCGAGTTCCTATTCCTGACGTCGACAAGGGGCGAGGTGATTCGCGCAATATATTGGCAATTGTAATGAGTGTGACAGAGGATGGTTTCTACCGACTTGGAACTTCTGAAGGAATTTTAAAACAAGTATATGCGAGATCACAATTCACTTTATGCCCTAAGAACTTGCTTAGAATTGAAGATATTCCTGACCGTGAAATTCCTCGCCGGTCAGTTGCAATTGCTCAGTCCAGTGGAAATGGCCAAGGAGTCGTCAAATGTATGTGTAAAACAAAGTACCAAAATAATGAAATGTAATTCAAAATGTCATTCAAGCCTACCATGTTGCAAAAGTAGGTTAATTTTAATTTCTTATTTTTTATATGAAAATTTTGTTTCCTTTAATAAGAAAGGCATAAATTTTGTTTGGTACAACTTTCATTTTTCTTTACATATTTTGAATACAGTTTTTTAATGGCGCACTCATTATTTTTCAGAATAACATTTGTATTTTTGAGGAATGCACGTCATTTATATAATAGCCTTATCAGGACCTTTTTTCATACTTTGCAAAATAGCATTTGTCATTCTATAGAATGCCTAGGGAAAGTATGTAATAATTCTCATATTTCATACATCGCCTAAAAACGCCAGACATTATATACAATGCCTAGGTATTCTATAGAATGCCTGCTTTTCATACTTTGTCGGTAACATATACATTATACCATAGGATTTGCCAGGAAGTTGTATTCCTTGAACTGAGGAATTTTCTTTCAAAACTAGAACAGTTTAAAAGTTATGGGTTTGAGGCAATATTCTTAATGGTAAATTTAGTTTTACATGAAAGTTATTTTGTTTTTAGTTGGAATTGTTACCAGAATAAAGGGGGTCTCCGTTGGATTACTATTGTCAGATTTGTAGCAGAAGTGATAGTTTGGAAAGTAGAGAAGGTATTGAAAACACTTGGGGATGATAGAGTTAATAGTAAGATATGTAAGTCTGATATGTATAAGATGTTGATGACATACTGGTTATTTGGAAAAATAGTAATAACATTAGGTTAGTAGGCTTAAACTCTGGTGAAAGTTTTAGTTTGACACATTGTGATGTTCAAGGACCAGAAAAGCAAATACATTTTTAGATGCATCGATTGAAAAAAAATTAGCAACACTATATAAAAGTTTATCATAAAGAAATGTTTAAGCTGATTTACATTCCTTTGGATTCTTGTGATCCAAGACAGTACACTAGAGCAGCCTTTTAAGGCATTAGTCATCGTGTAAGAGAAATATGTAGAGGAATTAAAATAATTAAGAACTTAGTTACAGTACATGTGGCATTAACAAACCTTGGAAAGAAATTTAAAAATTTATTTTAAAATGTTACAATGAAAATTTAAAATTGAGAATTATATGTAAATCAATTGCACTAAAAACCTGTTGTCCAGTGTCAGTAATATGTATACTGCACAAATGTTTTTGCACTCCTGAGACCTGCTTCAGGTGAATCTTGTTTTGTTGATAGAACATAATCACTGAAAAATAAAAATTCGAATGTTCTTTAAAATTTGAACCAATTTAAAAAATAGAATGCGTTGGAATGCCTGCTTTAACAGAATAAAATACCATGCATCAGTTTGGGTATGTGCAAGAGGTCTTACAACAACTAACAAACTACAGTTGAGGTTCATACAGACCTGCCAAGCTGCAGATAGAAACTGTTCCTCCTTGTGATTGATACGTGTGCTGTTTGTTTGCTTAAAAATTTCTAAGGTTTCTGAGGAATTTTAATAGATATTGGATGTTTGTTTTTTAACGAGCATTTGAATTTTTATTTTTTTGGTGATTGTGTTCTATCAATAAAAAAAGATTCACCTAAAGCAGGATTCGGGAGGAGCTCAAAAAGGTTTGTGCAGTGTGCATATTATCAACACCAGACAATAGGTTTATAGTGCAATTTATTTATCATCCAGTGTGAGTAGTCTTTCATCTATATGTAAATTTTTTGAATTATAATTTTATTTTATTATTTGATTTGTTACTAAAATAAAAATTTACATAAATAATAACTTTTATTTAATTATTAAGCTATGATTACTTTTATTTTAGTAAAAGTTAAGTGGAGTAAAGAAGTATTTCCAGATTTATTAGTAAATGCAGATGAAGAACTAGATGTTTTTAAAGCACAGTTGTTTACTTTAACTGGTGTTCCACCAGGAAGACAAAAAATTATGCTTCGAGGAACTACTTTAAAGGTAAAATTGTGTAATAAATTTTAATTTCGATAAGCTAATTTATTGTCATATAACTGCAGATCGTTTATAACTAAAAAAATTGAGTAAAATTCAAATTGACTATTATGGAGTTTATATTTTATTGATGACTTATTATATTTCACAAGCATTTCTGATGTTAAAATGTAGTTAATTATTTCAATATAATAATAATAATAATAATAATAATATATTTATAGGATGATAGCTGGAAAAAAGTAAAGTTAAAAGATGTAAGTGTCCTTTTAATTTACTATACAATATAGAGAGGTTTCAAAAATTATTTTCATTCATTTAAAAATTATTCACATATTATTAGACTTATCAATTTTATATAACATTGTGACAAATTTGAATCTTTACTAAAATTCGTGTTAAAATTATTCTTTTAAAGGAAAAAAAAAATAAAGCTAGAAATAATTTTTTTTCAATGAAAATGTTACATGAAGTTTTAAACAATAGAAGAATGTAAGTCCTAAGATCATTGGGGATTGAATTAAACATCAGTTTTGATCTCTCCTGTGATCTAAGCTGATATCTCATTACATTTAGTAACGAGTGATCAAACTCTTAGAAAGTGAGAACGAGGAAAAGCGACCAATCGGAATGGGCAATCAAGGATAGAAATTACCGTATTAGCCTGAATATAACGCAACCCCGAATTTAATGCACTCCGAAATTTTCATAAAGATATTTAGAAAAAAATAATACTCATAAAAGAATTCAAAGAAAGTAAAATTCAATTAGATAAGCATTTATTTAGGTAATTATAGCTAATAACACAGGTTACATTCATGTCAATAAAATTAAGTAATGTAAAATAAAATTAATATTACGTAAGTAACAACAAAAAACGGAAATGTTTATTCAGAATCTGAACTGTTTTCAGAATGAGAACTCGTTGATGTCACATCGCATATTTCATACATCGCCT